CTGTCATTTGCAAATATCTTCTCCCATTCCATGGGTTGCCTCTTTGTTTTGCTGACTGATTTTTTAAGTCTACTAAGAAGTTGAAAGAGTGATATTACAAATACCTATTAAGTCACTAAGTGTTAACATTTTACTATATCTGCTTTCTCCCCCATGGGATGCACACATGTGCACACACACAGTTTTCTTTTGCTTTTCTAACCCATATAAGAGTAAGTTAAAGACATCAAGATACTTCACCCCAAGCACTTTGGTTAGTAATTCCCTAAGAACAAGGATATTCTCTTATATATCTTCAATACCATTATTATACATAAGAAAATTAACAGTAATTCCAAAATGTCATCTAATATATAGTCTAAATTTAACTTTCCCCAATTGTTGGGCACCTGGGTGAAGCAGTCAGTAAAGCACCCAACTCTTGATTTCAGCTCAGGTCATGACCGCAGGGCTCACACTGAGCCCTGCATCCAGCTCCATGGTCAGTAAATTTTCCTACTGTCCTTCCTTCCACTGTGCACTCTCTTGCTCTCCCAAAATAAATAAATAACTCTTTTTTTGAGGCTACCCTTAAATTTTTAGGATGGTTCAACATCAGAAATAGATTTAGAGAGAAACCAGATAATAATCTCAATCAAAAAAGAATACGCATTGTAAGCTTAAGCAAAAGGCAAAACTGTAGCATTAACAAAAGATTACGTGGGAGAATACCTATTTGAACTAAGAATAGGGAAAAACTTAAAAACCCATAAAGTATATAACTAATTTTTATCCCATTAAAACTAAAGACTTTTGTTCAATAAAAGACACCGCAGACAATGATAATGTGAAAATGACTAACTGCAGAATGGGAAAAGAGATTTATAATTCCAAATATGGAAATGGGATTATTATAGAGAATAGATAAGAAATTCCTGCAAACCAACAAGAGAACAGTAACCCTGATAGAACAATGGGCAAATGCTATGAAAAGGCAATTTACAGAACTTAAACTAGAATACAAAAATGAGAAAGCTAGATTATTCTAGCTGTTGGCAAGAATGAGAAGATGTAAGAAGCCTTGGGCTTCCTAGTGGAAGCTGGACTGACGTCATCATTCTGGCTTGGGTCAAAGCCTCGGTCAATAAAGAACTGTTCCTCTGCCTTACTTTGTCCTTTGTGCATGTATTTCTTTGGGGGATTTCACAGGGAGAAATGGCCAGTCTAGCACAGGCTCTGGGCCTTAGACACTGTAGGTCCTGACCAAATACCTCTACCTGAATCACACCTGATGTGACTGCATTGGCCACTCAGTCTAAAAGGACACGGAAATCAAAATTCCACTGCCCCCTACTCCCAAAGGTCTGGACATGGCTTTACCTTTTCCTTTTTTGAGGGACCAAATTTATTATTATTTTTCTGAAAATATCGGGAACTATGAAAAACAAGCCAGTAGCTGTAAAGCACCATGTTCTGTTGGAACCTGAATTCATTCGTTGATATGTTTTCAGGTTTCCCAACTTTATGGACATTGACATTTGAGCATGTTGTTTTATAAATGATGGGATTCCGGGGTGGGAAGTGAGTTGGCTTTACCTTTTTTTAAATGACAATTCAAAACATTTTCCGAAAACTGTGGTTGATAGGAAATTCCTATGTATTTAATGTTTAATATAATTTCTGAAGCAAATATAACTCTCTTCTTGTTGTACTAATCACCATTTAGGGAAGATTTGATTTCAGTATCTGGAAACAGAAGAAATTGAGCTCTAAGAAACAATGGTCAGGAGAAAGGGTTCTTGGGATTTAAGTAGCCTATAAGTATCACAAGAGAAAAAATCATATGGGTCTGCTTTTCTTAGCCAAAGGGAAATGCAGTCACTTTTCATCCAAGGGAAGAGAACATAAACACGGACACTGAGCAGGACCATCACGGAAGGAGATAACCTTAAGTGAGGGAAAAAGTCTCATCCTCATCCTGGAGCTGACCTGGGCAGGCCTCAGAAGAAGCAGTTAGATTTCACACAGATTCTTCCTTCAGAGAAGAGCCGGAGGCGGCCAGGAGACAGAAGGGAGAAGTGAAAGGGTCCCGGACTCCACTGTCATCAGGGTCCTAGTGGAAGCTTATCTCCAGACCCAAAAACTGAATAAGATCTCTGGGAGACCTAGCTAGGACAGAGAACAGGAAATGTACATCACAACCTCAGAAGGTCATCATGCCCAAGATTCAGAGGCCAAAAATGCTCCTAAAGTTCCTGATGATGAAAGAGGAGAGCCACATTCAGCACCATGTCACCATCATGATTTTCATCCTCTGGCGTTTGTTAACCAGGCAACCAATAACCAAATTTTCCGATACCAAAAAAACTGATTTGGGCCGTCCCCAATCTCTACCCAGATGGCAGGTTTCTGTGTTGACAACAACACTGCTGCCTGGACTATGGCAAAAGCTCGGCCTCAGGAACCTGCGGGGCTGGGCCTGCGAAAGGGACCTGGGTCTTGGGCCCACTCTCTCTCAGGGGCTGAGGATGGTGCAGATCCAGGCTGTCTTCCTAGAAGAAACTACTGGCTAGGCCTCAGGTGCCCAGAGAAACTTTTCTCTTAACGTAACAACAGGTAGTGGTTGCAGACCCTGGGGTTACCTCACTTACCAGAGAAACATAGTTATGGGATAAAGAAGAATGTTTCCTGGGCAAAGAGGGATACATAATGCATACACATGCAAAAAGTAAGGTTTGCTTTAGGTAAAACATGATACTGAAACAAAAATAAATAAAAACACTCATTGGAACACCAGTGTGAAATCCTACTGGAACACCACTATGATTAATAACTATTTGCAAATACGACACAAAGCAAAGAACCTTTCTAGAAGTCTTAGGAAAAGTTTATGATGTTCTTAAGGTTATGGTTTGTTTCAATAACAAATTTCAAAACCTTAAATGGTGCAAAAAGTACCAACATCCTAACTGTAACCAGATTTTATATCATCCAGAGAAGAGAAGTGGGTTGAAATATCCTAAAAACACCATAATTTTTAAAAGAACAAATTGCCATTTTCCTAAATATCAAGAGGGCAAGAAATGAGAAACAGCCATGTGGTTTCACAAACTCTCCATTTAGAGGCTAGCAGGAAAGAGAAATTTGTACCGCAAACTGAGGAAAGGACTAAGGCTGTTCCCTCAGTCAGGCCTAGTAAGGAAGGAATATAAACAACAGTAAAATAGGAAGACCATAAAAAGAGTAAGAAAAAAACATGCATACAGTGGACATGCAAGGGACTCGATGATATTCACTTGTAAGAGAGAAGGAGGGGAATTACAACAGAGAACAAACCAAGAGCAGGTCTGGCATCAAAATTTCCCAAAGAGCAAAGAGCAAAGCAGATTATCAGTATCCACTCCAGTATCAATTCTGTCATCCCTCCCATCCATCAATATTTCCTTGCCCTTGTATTGGTACCAACCACTAACAAGAAATCAGGGAATCTAATCCCTTCAGTTTGGGAGCCCAGGGGAACAGAGGTTCCTGAGGTCCATTAAGTCCGAACACCAGAGCTAGGTTTCCATGAAGCAGTTTTGGGCCAAATACTGTGTAAGTTTTAAAGTGCTCCTTTGCCTGGTTTTGTTCTGTGAGATCTCCCTCCCTTTGTCCTGCACGATCTTGTTGCCAGAGGATCTGGCTACATAGGGTCCTGGTTCTTTCCCTCTCTTCTCACAGAGAAAACATCATTCACAATAGTGACGCCATGATAATATAAACGCACTCTCAGAAGAGGGTCACATATCCCACTGCTTTTAAAGGAAGAAAGAGAAAACATGAGAGGAATGAAATTTCAAGGAATAACATCCAACTGATATTGGCCGAGCCTGGAACAGTGAAATCACTAGTTAAGCAGGCCACAAAACAAAAGGAACCTGAGTGCCTCAGGTCAGCGTACCTGGAGGGCCACTGATGAAGCAGTAGTCTCTTCATTCAAAAAGAATTTCACAGTTGGAAATTCCTTCTAATGAGGAGTACTTGGCACCAAAAAGTGACCCATGTTTTCAGAAGATGCTCACCACCCCAGGTCACTACCTTATCAGCAGTGAAGAAACAGAGGGATCCGTATGCAGTCACTTGCTCTAAATCACCTCTAGCTTACTTCAGGATGTCAGTGAGGCATGCCCACCTGTCCCTATCACAGTGTGTCCACAGGACATCCTCTCTTACTCATCTTCTGGCATTTCTTCTAGTCTTTCAAGGGGACAGTATCAGAAACTTCTTCCTGATTGAAAAAGCTCATAATCTAGCCAGCCTAGCTAGGTCAATCGTTTCCATGTGAGAGTACAGATAAAACTCAATTTGGCTGGAAAATATACTCCCTGCACTTAAAACTTCTTAGCAATCTATACATTAAAATGTTCCAATTTTCACGGCTACTTTGGTTTTCCCGTGCGTGGTCAGCTAGGGCCCTTGGTCGTAGCTCCTTGCCCATGTCTTCTGCATCCAGAGGACACATAGCTTAGATCTGATCAGAGACAGTAAGACTGGCCTTTTTTCAAGGTTTAAAATCGAAACACTTTGTAAAGATAATTTACTTGTCAAATTTAAGGTGATCCATTCCCGCCACCTACGATGGAAAATACTTTTAAAATGTACTGAATTAAAGCAAAATCCAGGGTAAAGTGAAGTGCTTTTTTGGATTTGAAAGATCAGTTTAATTCTGTTCCTGTCAGCTACAGGGGTGGATTGCACTCATCACAGGAAATGTCAAGGTCAGCTATCAACACAACTCAAGATCTATTAGGGAAGGACAAAGAGCACCTGCTGGCCACAGGAGCCACCAGCAGCATCTCCTGCCCCTCCTGAGAGCCCGCAGCCAGAAAGGGTCAAAGATCCCCCCTTCCTAACAGCTGCCACTGGTTAGAGGTTGGGAAGGTCCCAACCGCACTGTGTGATTAAGTCTGTAGCACAAAGAGAATCCCAATCCTTAAACCAATCAGGTTAGTAAAAATGTCAGACAGCAATCCAGCACTCACCTTTGTCATGAACACAAACTGAGGGTTTCTTGACACCATCAACCAGAACATTCTGTGTGTTGCCATGTCCATCTTCTGAGTCGCTGTCTTCAAACTGAGCCTCTATAATGACATCAGGACTGTCATTATAGCCTTTCACGGGCTGCTGCAGGAGATGGCTTCCACAGAGCTCCTCGGGGAGATCTAATTCATAGGCACCTTCTGTTTCTTTGTCATTGCTCTCTGGTTTAATTACCTGAAGAAAATAGAAAAGTTCTGCTAAATCACTGGAGGGAAGAACGGGAAATAACAGATTTTTCTCTTCTCATTTTTCTTTCCTAAGGGAAAAATGCACATTCAGAAGCTCAAGGCAATGGTGACTCACCATGTAGTTTGAAAAATAATATTCATTTTCCAGCTGCACAGACAACTTTATGGAGACGACCAATCCAGCACTGCCAGAGTGGCCGTCAGCTCCTCAAGATGCCCAAGATGAATGCCATCTCTACTCCCCATTTTTCTGATGTACCTACCTGTTGTTTATCCACTCTCCCCCAGAGGCCCTGAATACCACAAGTACTAAGCTGCTTCATAAGCGTACATCACATGGATGAGAGAGTATGTTCAGAGGGGATAAAACTCAGCAGAGTATGTTACTGCACTCCATGTGAAACCACAGAGAATGATGAAATGGAAAAAACAAAATTAAATGTAAATAAGCGTTTTTAAATGTTCTCATTAAAAATAGAAGCCCTGGGACGCCTGGGTGGCTCAGTTGGTTAAGCAGCTGCCTTCGGCTCAGGTCATGATCCCAGTGTCCTGGGATCGAGTCCCACATCGGGCTCCTTGCTCATCAGGGAGCCTGCTTCTCCCTCTGCCTCTGCCTGCCATTCTGTCTGCCTGTGCTTGCTCTCTCTCCCTCTCTCTCTCTCTGACAAATAAATAAATAAAATCTTTAAAAAAAAAAAAAATAGAAGCCCTTAATTCTCCATTTTGAGGCTTGAAATCGGTATAGAAAGCACACAACTGATGGATATTTATATGAACACTAAGAATGAAGCATTATATAATATGACAAATATTTTCAATTAAAAAAAGAGTAAAGCAAATATGAGAAGAGTCTAGATACTAACCCACTTAGTGAGTTTGTCACATAAGTCATATGTCCGTACTCTGATTTCTATGGCATTTGATTTCTATGGATTTCTCTAGCAGTTTCTCTATGGGTTTAATTTTGAGAGGTCTAACATTCTTCTGAGTTTAACCTTGAAGTTTCAAGACAGATGCCCGGCTTCAACAAGCCAGATTACCATTCGAATCAGACCACACAAAGATCCTTTAGCAAAGGATCTTTATCTTATACAAGGCAGAAAAAATTACTGAAAGAAATCTTTCCCAAGACATTTTCACACCACAGATTTCAATTAACATAACCATCCCCAGACAATGAATATTATATTCACCCAGAAAATCAAAGTAAAATATTACAAAGGCATTCTAAAGATTCTAAAAATATATTACCAAGTTTTTAAAAAAGTGACTTCATGAAAATGTGGAAACAGAAAAACTTGTAGACAGCAGTTAATTTTTCAGAGTAAAACTGTGCCTTTTAATAACATTTTTTTGAAACTTGATTCCCAATTTCTGAATATATATAATGAAATTTTCTTTCAACTCTTGCCATGTTTTGACTCTTGTCACATCCATTCATTCATCTGATCACTCTTTCATTATGAGAAGGTTGAAGGTTCCTTTTCTTTGACAGTAAAAGAAAAAAAATTCAACTGGCTAGGCCAGAAATCGCCAAAAAGATTCCCTCAGGGAAGAGGGAAGCCACAGTTGGTCTTTAAATTATAATACAATCATAAAACCCAGCTCTCCTCTGTGCATTTCTGCCTTGTCACAAAAGTTTATTTTCATGCCTGACCCAAAAGAGATCATTCAAAAATAGAGAATTCAATGACAAGTTAGGAAAGAAAAAGAATTTGACATCACTCAAATCAGCAAACCTAGTCAATGTCCTTAAATGTGCCTGGCAAATTCATCTGCCCCGACCATCCTTGAAGAACGAACACACACCTTGGGCATTGTCAGAATAGCCCAAAGCATGGGGCACCGGATGGCTCAGCCAGTTAAGCATCTGACTCTGGCTCAGGTCTTGATCTCAGGGTCCTGGGATCGAGGTCGGTATCAGGCATCTCACTCAGTGGAGAGTCTGTTGTCCCTTCCCCGCCTTGTCCTCTCTCTCAAATAAATACATAAAATCTTTGGGCGCTTGGGTGGCTCAGTGGATTAAGCCTCTGCCTATGGCTCAGGTCATGATCTCAGGGTCCTGGGATCGAGCCCTGTGTCGGGCTCTCTGCTCAGCGGGGAGCCTGCTTCCCCCTCTCTCTCTGCCTGCCTCTCTGCCTACTTGTGATTTCTCTGTGTGTCAAATAAATAAATAAAATCTTTAAAAAATATATATATAACATATTTTTTTAAATATATGTTTTTTAAATATATTTTTTTAAAAATAGCCCAAAGCACAGGCAGGAGGTATACGTGCACCCTCTGTGTCTAAAGCATGGTGATCACCGCTTTTGTTTTTTCTATGTCATTCCCACGCACAACTTCTCGCAGAGAGAAGAGGTGGGACTGGGGCTGAAGGAGAAAGCCTAGTGTGCTAGAGTTAGACTCACAGGTAACAAGTAGTCTTCCGGAAAGATGTTACGCAAAGGGTCCATGCTTTCAGTTTCCATTATGTATTTATTTCTCCCATTAATAGTTTCACAAAGATTTGGTTCCTATAGGCCATGGAGAAAATCGTACAAGGGGAAACCAGAATTCTGACATTGTCAAATTTGAATGCTCAACTACCCTACAGTGAAAAGTAGTCTTTCTCCATATGCATATATATATATGTGTGTGTAAGATATAACAAGAATTCTGTAATCACCATGATTCTGCTACTTAGTAAGAATTATGCTATGGCTCACAGATAAAAAGTTCAAATAAAAGTCAAAAGGAAGAGGAGAGCAGGGGACAGCAATAACCAGAGTACACCAAGCCTAACTGTATAGCACATTTTAAAACCAGCCCAGTTCTGGGATGCCTGGGTGGCTCAGTTGGTTAAGCAGCTGCCTTCGGCTCAGGTCATGATCCCAGTGTCCTGGGATCAAGTCCCACACTGGGCTCCTTGCTCGGCAGGAAGCCTGCTTCTCCCTCTGCCTCTGCCTGCCATTCTGTCTGCCTGTGCTTGCTCTCTCTCTCCTTCTCTGACAAATAAATAAATAAAATCTTTAAAACCATCCCAGTTCTGAATTCATGATAATCTCCATGGTTTAGATTAATTATATTCAAGAATTAGTATTTTTCAAGGTGCCTGGGTGGCTCAGTGGGTTAAGCCTCTGCCTTTGGCTCAGGTCATGGTCTCAGTGTCCTGGGATTGAGCCCCACATCTGGCTCTCTGCTCAGCAGGGAGCCTGCTTCCCCCTCTCTCTCTGCCTGCCTCTCTGCCTACTTGTGATCTCTCTCTCTCTGTCAAATAAATAAATAAAATCATTTAAAAAAAGAATTCTTATTTTTGGCACTAAATTCACCTTTGAGTTACAAAATTAAAAAATGTAAGGAAGCAGGAGTTAACGAATAAATCAAGTCATTTAAAACTGTGTAATTCACATATAAATTGGAGTGCCTGGGTGGCTCTGTCAGTAAAGCATTGGACTCCTGATGTCAGCTCATATCATGGGATGAAACCCCACATCAGGCGCCACGATTCTAAGATTCTATCTCTCCCTTTCCTTCTGCCCTTCCCTGCACCCTTTCTAAAAAAAAAAAAAAATATATATATATATATATACACATACACATATATATAAATACATTGCATTTTAAAAGTACATTCATTCTATTTTGTTACACCAGTACACACAAGAACAGAAATATATTCTGAGAAAAAAAGATCACCATAAGACCACAGGATACAAAAGTCATTTTACAACTACTCCATACCACACACTGGTTAAGAGTGAGGGTTGCAGGACCCTTAGAGAAATGGCTAATTCAAGTCTGGAGCAGGAAATAGATAAGACAAACCTGGAATATCGTGTCATACCAGGAAAACACGGAAGCTATTAAAGGCTTCTAAGGTCTTATTGAAAAAACTCAAGAATCGCCGTGAAAAAGCTCTGGTCAACCTTAGAAAATTCCAAGCATTTATCCTACCTTTCCTGTACCAACCATACCTCAGGTTAACCACATAGTTGAGGAGGTAAAGATCTTCTTTACTGAAGAGTTTCAGCTAATTGAGAAAGAAGGAAAGACTTCCGGTATCACCAGTTTGCCATCCCTATGGAAATAATGGATTCAGGAAATGATCATTAATGGTTGCTAAAGCCAGCTAATTCATAACCTGATGGGGATGGAGTTTTATAATAAATGGACCAGAGTGGTAATACTTAAGAAGAGAAAGAAACATAGTGCTTCCTGATGGACGATAATAGTAAGTCCATAACACTATCCATGAAGTACTTTCCCCCAAACTGAACTTGAATCTGATCTGAAACTGGATCATAGGAGCATGTTAAATAACACCAGGGAGAGGACCCATTTACACTCACTCACCAGGTGACTTCATCCCGTCTCAGGGCTTTAAATCTCTCTGTAGCCTATTAACTCTCAAAATTAAATGCCTAGCATCAACCATTCCCCTGAATGCCAGACTCCTATCCAACTGCCTACTTTACATCTTCCTTTGGATGTCAGTTGGCACCTGGAACAAGAGAACCGTTCCTCCCCCCAGAACGCACTCCTCTCCCAGCACCTGCTTTCTCAGCAGATGGCACCAAACTATGGCATCTTCTTCTCATGCCCCACATCCAATCCATCAGAAGAGCCCACTGGCCCTTCCTTTAAATATTTCTTCTTACCATTTGCACTAATACTGCACAACCAACCTCTATCTCCTTGCTGAGATAACCCGTCTCCCGATTTCCATTTTGGACCAAAGCAGCTAGAGTGATCTTTTAAACATAAATCAGATCATGTCATTCTCTCAGTGGCTTCCCAACATCATTCCATCACCACCCACAAGGCCTTGTCAAATCAGGCCCATATTATTGTTCCATTCTCATTTGCTATAACTTTTTCCTTTGCAAATTACCCTCCAATCTAGAAATCTTCTTGTTATTTCTAGAATACTAAAATCTTCCATCCTGAGGTTCTTCTGTTGCTATTCCCTCAATCTGGAAAACTCTGTGCCTGGCTATTCTTAAG